ATGAGCTGTGAGACTGGCCCAACCTGTTTCAACCCCACCCCATTCTAATGATAGAATTAAAACAGACTCCATAAGGAGTCTCTTTATTATATTAATTGTTATTCCAGCAGATGTTGGAATCTTTTTGCTGGCCTGTGCAGTGGGTCAAGAGCTGAAATCATGGAGAAACTGGAATCAGAAAAAGCAAAAATCACTAGATTTGGCCCAGGTCTAAAACCATCACATGGCCAGCAACCAGTGAGGCAGCTGGCAGGTGATCATTGGGAGCAAGAAGTCGTCTGGCTGGTGGCCAGGGGGCCCCCAAGCAGGCAGAAGCAGGCTGTGGTCAGGAGTGGCTGGCAAGAGCAGTGGTGAATGGCCAGCAGGCAGCTGGTGGTAGTGGCCAGCAAGGTGGCCAGCAAAGTGGTGCCAGAGAGCAGGTGGATGGCAAGTGTCCAGCAAAGTGAGTGAGATGCCTTCTACTTACCCCTCTCAGGATGGTAGGTGAGCTCTGAAAATCACCTCTGAGCTCTGGTCTGGCCTGACCAAGGGCAGCAACTGTGAGTGGGGTGCAGAAAAAAGTGTTGGGCATATGAATGGGACACTTACATTGCTGGACTTGTGAGTCTGAGAGGCAAAGAACATTGCCCAACCTATTTGAGCAGGGATGTTTACTCGTGATTTGGTTATGAACTCTGTGGCATTTTTCCAAGTTAATGCCATGTTACTTCTCTCCCTCATTCATTAAAAGCTTCTTTTCTATGCTCAGACACTGTGCTTGTAAGTGGGGAAGCACTGACTCTCAGAGGTACCCAGGGGTGTGTATGAATTTCCCAGGTTGTTGGGCGGGGGCTCCAGCCAGTTCTGTGTGGGATGGATGAAAAAGAACCCCTTACTAATCTACTAGAGTTCTTTAAGGAGGGGTCAACAAACATGTGTACAAGGGGGAACCAGTGGATATACTATACTTTGATTTCCAAAAAACCTTTGACAAGATTTCTCACCAAAGGCTGTGGTCAGGAGTGGCTGGCAAGAGCAGTGGTGAATGGCCAGCAGGCAGCTGGTGGTAGTGGCCAGCAGGTGGCCAGCAAAGTGGTGCCAGAAGAGCAGGTGGATGGCAAGTGTCCAGCAAAGTGAGTGAGATGCCTTCTACTTACCCCTCTCAGGATGGTAGGTGAGCTCTGAAAATCACCTCTGAGCTCTGGTCTGGCCTGACCAAGGGCAGCAACTGTGAGTGGGGTGCAGAAAAAAGTGTTGGGCATATGAATGGGACACTTACATTGCTGGACTTGTGAGTCTGAGAGGCAAAGAACATTGCCCAACCTATTTGAGCAGGGATGTTTACTCGTGATTTGGTTATGAACTCTGTGGCATTTTTCCAAGTTAATGCCATGTTACTTCTCTCCCTCATTCATTAAAAGCTTCTTTTCTATGCTCAGACACTGTGCTTGTAAGTGGGGAAGCACTGACTCTCAGAGGTACCCAGGGGTGTGTATGAATTTCCCAGGTTGTTGGGCAGGGGCTCCAGCCAGTTCTGTGTGGGATGGATGAAAAAGAACCCCTTACTAATCTACTAGAGTTCTTTAAGGAGGGGTCAACAAACATGTGTACAAGGGGGAACCAGTGGATATACTATACTTTGATTTCCAAAAAACCTTTGACAAGATTTCTCACCAAAGGCTCTTAAGTAAAATAAGTTGTGTTGGGATAAGTGTGGCTTGATAATTGGTTAAAAGACAGGACAAAGGGTAGGAATAAATGGTAAGTTTTCAGAGTGGATAGAGGTAACTAGTGGGTCCACCGAGGGTCTGTACTGGGACCAATCTATTCAACTTATTTATAAATGATCTAGAGATAGGGATAAAACAGTGAGGTGGCAAAATTTGCAGATACCAAACTGCTCAAGATAGTTAAGACCAAAGCAGACTGTGAAAAGCTTGAAAATGATCTCACCAAACTAAATTTCATTTGCCATTTTGTTGCCCAATAACTTAATGTTGATAAATATAAAGTAATGCATATTAGAAAAAACAATCCCCACTCTACATGCAATATGATGTGGACTAATTTAGCTACAACTACTCAAAAGAAAGATCTTGGAGTCATTGTGGATAGGTCTCTGAAAACATCCACTCACTGTGCAGTGGCAGTCAAAAAAGCAAATAGGAATCATTTAAAAAGGGACAGAGAATAAGATAGAGAATATCTTATTGCTGCTATATAAAACCATGGTATGCCCACATCTTGAATACTGCATACAGATGTGCTCACCTCATCTCTAAGACATATTGGACAGGAAAAGCTTTAGAAAAGGGCAACAAAAATGATTAGGGGGCTGGAATGGGTCCCATATGAAGAGAGATTAAAAAGATTGGGACTTTTCAGCTTGCAAAAGAGGACACTAAGGGTGATATGATAGAGGTCTCTAAAATCATGACTAGTGTGGAAAAAGTGAATAAAGAAAAGTTATTTACTCTTTTCCACAATATAAGAACTAAGGGTCATGAAATGAAATTAATAGGCAGCAGGTTTAAACACACAAAAGGAAGGTTTTTTTTCCCACTCAGCACACAGTCAACTTGTGGAACTCCTTGCCAGAGGATATGGTGAAGACTAGGACTTTAACAGAGTTCAAGAAAAAACTAGATAGATTCACGGAGGGTAGGTCCATCAATGGCTATTATCCAGGATGGGTAGAAATGGTGTTCCTACCTCTGTTCATCTGGAAATGGGTGACAGGAAAGGGATCACCTGAGGATTATCTGTTATGTTCCCTCCCTCTGGGGCATCTGGTATTGGCCACTGTCAGCAGACAGGATATTGGGCTAGATGGATCTTTGGTCTGACCCAGTATGGGTATGTCTACACTACCCCCCTAGTTCGAACTGGGGGGGGGTAATATAGTCATACGGAGTTGCAAATGAAGCCCAGGATTTGAATTTCCCGGGCTTCATTTGCATAAAGCCGGCCGGCGCCATTTTTAAATGCCAGCTAGTTCGGACCCCGTGCTGCGTGGCTACACGTGGTATGGACTAGGTAGTTCGGATTAGGCTTCCTAATCTGAACTAGCTGTAGACCTCGTTCCACTAGCATGTAGCCGCTCGGCACGGGGTCCGAACTAGCCGGCGTTTAAAAATGGCGCCAGCCGGCTTTATGCAAATGAAGCCCGGGAAATTCAAATCCTGGGCTTCATTTGCAACTCCGTATGACTACATTACCCCCCCTAGTTCGAACTAGGGGGGTAATGTAGACATACCTTATGGCCATTCATATGTAGATATTGAACCCGGCCCTGGCTACTGTTGGTGCTACCTGGCAGAAGTGTTACAAATACATAAGGCATTCGGGTTCAAGCCAGCCAGTAGAGAAATTTCCATCAAGAAGTTCCATCAAGAAGTGGCATCTTAAACACAAATCCACTGATTTGTAGCCCAAGTTGTATCTGCCATGGGACCCAGTGCCAAACAGAATGTAAAGCCATAGAACAATGTGCAGCTCCTCATGACTGATAAAGGGTGGGTCCAAAAGGAATAGAAGATTGGAATTTGGTGGGGCAGTGAGGTGCAGGCCCAGCCACTGTAATGTTATAGTGTTCTGTGATACAGGTGTGCTGTGTAACACACTTATAATACTGTACCATAGTCAAATACAAATCAGTCATTAGTTAGAGTCACAGCCTTAAAAAAAACCCCACACACCTGCAGAGCTTCCAGTTCTCTAATATGAGGGGAGAAAAGACCATCCTCCTCTCCACTACCTATAAGTCAGCCCAGCTGATAATTACCTCTTCTTTCCTTCCCTGGAACCTCCTATTGCTCTAGTCCAACTGATGACTACACTGCACCTATAGCTCGAAATAAGATACACAATTTCGAGCTAATTTTGAAATAGAGCATTATTCCAAAATGTGCCTTATTCCTTGTGGAATGAGGTTTACTAGGATGTTGGAATAGCACACCCATTATTTCAAAAGCTATTTTGAAACAACAGGCATGATGTCAAGAGAAGGAAAATGCTATTTTGAGATACTGGAAGTACCCCGAAATAGCGCCGTGGTCTAGACACACATTTGTATACTGAGCTCTTTATTTCATTGATGTCTATTTTATTCCTTCTTTTCTATACTCTAATTCTTTCATCCATCTATTTGCATGTCATGCATCACTGGTATAGACAGGAGAGAGCTACCCTAGCTGGTTGCATTTGCTGATTAGCTAAGGATAGTCAATTCCTTTCTATTTGTGTTTCAGAATAAGTTATAAGCTCAGCCTCCACGAGCCCAGGTTCAAATATTTTCCCGCTCAGTGTGAGACACTGGCATGTGTAACTATGTATTTCTATCTGACTCTACCATCTTCCTGTGTCCCTCACTCCAAATAATTTTCTTCTGATGGGACCCACCTGTTGTACCTTCCATCAGATGCAGCCATGCATTGCAAAAACTTCATTTTACTACACATTTGTTCTTGTATAATGGTTAATTATTATAGCCAAACACCAACTGGTCTGTTACTGTGAAATGCAAACAAATGCTAAATAGGCTTTATTCTGATTTCTTGGATGCTGGTTTTATATCCATGTTACTCCGATGCATTCACTCTTGATTTACAAAAGTATAAGATCAGAACCAAGCCTCAATGGCTTAAACATCTGAGCTTTACAGTCCTCATTAAAATAAATAAAATCATTGAAATTAGCAGCAGGGTATTTGAGCAAATTGGATTAAAAGCTTTAAAAGCTAGGTAAAATTTCTGGCAAACTGACTATAACTCCAAAAGAAGACACTGCACTTTGTTGAGTAGGTTTTTTTTCTTTTCAGATATAATTTAGTGATAATTAGGGAGCAAAGAAACAATCAAAGAAAATCTGAATGCAGATAACACAAATGTTAGACACAAGGATAAGGCATCAATAACGAACATGACAATGACACAAAATGCAAAGAACATAGCACTGTTTGGATATTCATAGACTAATGGGATACTTCGACAGTGATTGCCATCTTTTATGTTTGCACTTACCAACCTCCACAACACTAGAACAGTTCGGGTCTGTGAAGCCACTGGGACATTCACAAGAAAAGAAGTCATCAGGCAACCCAGACAAACAGATGCCACCATTTTCACAGGGGTTGGAATCACACACATCCCCTGTGAATTAAAGAAAAAGATTCTTAGTTTTGCATACAGACTTCCCCGCATAAAAACCTCTTTCATGAAAACTTTAGTACAGTGAGATTACTGACAACCAAAAACAGACCAGCCTGCTAGCTCCAGATTCCTTGAAACACCAAATATTTTAAGACCTACAATTTTACCATAGTCTGAATTTTATATCAAGATTTAGATTTCATAAATATACATTTTTAACAAGTAATAAGATAAATAGATTTCCATTAAAAAAAACCACTTCATACAGCCAGACATTACCTTGACATTTCAACACAAACCTTGACTCATTGAGAACAAAAGTCAGATGACAATAAACAGATGTGAAAGTAATTTGGGCAGTGGAAAAGACCTTGCCCCTTCCCACTTTCTCTTTGAAGATCGGAGTGTATATCTTCACTACAGAATTACCCTACCCAGGCTCTTCCTTGAGTGTTACATTTACCTGGCTCCACCTACACATACGCACACCCCTCTCTTACCGAGTTCAGTGGTTCTTTCAGTCCTGGCTAACTGGCTTGTCTGGAACTATAGGCTAAAACCAGGCAAAGGCTTTCCCACGAGCTGGTAGCCTGACAACTCTGCAGGTTAAGCTACTCAAGTGCTCACAGTCCCCCCAGCATCTTCCCAAACTTCCTTCTTTCTGTTTGAAGAACAAACAAGTTGTTCCAAATTTATTAAGTAAGAGTTGTACATGGCTGACTACTGCATCACTAAGAACCATGGGACGATATACCTACTGACACTGTGGTGGGACAGGTCTCTCCACTCTGGTCAGGAAGGGGTTAAAGTGCTTGTCTAGGCACAATAAGCCCCAATTCAGTGCCCTAATTAGCTCTGACAAGCCTTGAGCAGGGAGACTCCTTAAAAGGAAGACTCCAAACCTAGTGCAGAATGGCACTCAGAGGGAAGCAGAGCAAGAATACCTCAGCCTTAGGCTGCTCACCAGGAAAACTGATAAAGGCCTACATTGCCTGCATCTTTTAGAGAGGTAAATGGACTGTCTTCATTTTAATTGTCTTCTTATTTCCCAGTATACTCAGCCTGGGCCCTTGGACACATGGAGGATTGGGAATCCACTCCCCTTCAGAGACACTATTTATCTTATGCCTTAAGGGTAAACCTGGGCTGTTTTGTGGGCTGCAGGATTATTTTGTTGCTTTTGTTTGTTTTGGACAGCTATTTTGTCCAGAAGGGAGACCCACCACCCTTAGAATTACAGGTGGAAAGCCACACTTGGCACTCCAAACTGGCACTCCCCTGACATCTCAAAAAGGGAAGGATGTCTGAAATAGACAGGATGCCCCCCACCAATGTTATCCCAAGGAGACACCCTAAAGATACAACCTACGGCAGACACACATAGGTAGACACAGCTCTGAATAGACACAGCTCTGGTGAGGAGATAGTACACTCAGTCTAAGCTAACCCGGGGTCATCTACACTGCGGGGCTTAACTTGAAATAAGCTACGCAAATTGAGCTACGTCAACTGTGCAGCTTATTTTGAAATAGAGCATTCTTCCTCCGACTTCCGTTACTCCTTGTACAATGAAAATTACAGGAGTCAGAGTAAGAAGTTCTCCAGCTTGATAGAATTTAGACATTATTTCGAAATAACTGCCTGCTGCGTAGATGTGGACAAAGTTATTTCAAAATAACACTAGTTATTTTGAAATAATGTTGCTGTGTAGATGTGCCCCCAGAGACTAGTCACTTGAGTTAATTCTACAGTGAAGGCATACCTCAAACGGGCCTCTTAGCTGCAGAGTCTGTGCCTTTCTCTTTTGACCTGACTTTGTATCAGACTACTCCACTGGTGCCATGTGAGGGAATTCGTTCCAAGTAGTGGAGATGAGGCTAGGGAATATGTCCATAACTTTGTGAACTGGACTATAAAAGTTTGCTCAATTTTAATAATGTAAAGCAATGTTAGTCTCACAGGCAAGTAAAAGCATGTGTGTCAAATATAGGATTTATAATTTTGCAGAGTTGCTGCAAAATGTTCTTTCACTTTAAGACACTTCAAGTCAATGAGAGTTTTACCATGGATATTAATGAATTTAGGATTGGCAATTTGATTTCCATAATATATAACCCCATGTCACCAGGAACAAGCATATGTAGATTCCAAGGGGAAAAAATGTATGAGCTACTAGCATGTTTAGGGTCCATTGTTATGGAAATACTCCCTTTGACTTCTCAGGTCTGACCCAGAGCAGTATGATGCCAATTTATTTCTCAGATAGTAAATTGTATATTGAGTTGCTGAATTCTTATGTTCTTCCCTAAAGTGCGAAATAGGTCCATGAGAATAAAAATGTGTTTTGATTTTATGTTTAAGTCTGACCTTATAAACCACAGAAGCACAGTTCACTTAGTTTGGTATGAGAACTCCAGAACTGCATTTCCTTATATTTCATGTTTGAATGGGTCACATGGTAATTGGCTAATCTGGACTTCAAACATTTTTATTTTCTATTCCATGCTATGGAATTCTGTACATCCACATCTGAACTCACAAATGTGAAAGGAATGCTCAATTGTAAGACATGCAGCATTACATAGACATAATTATAGCACTATTCTCAGAGAGGTGAGCAAGGGAGAATTTTACCATTCATATTTTCATGCGGTCAATAACATACTTCAAAATTACAAACTATTATTTGTATAATATTTTGCTAATCTCAACTAAAGAAACAAATTGGCAGGGTTTTTTTTTAATTGTTTTTAATCTATGAGAATAGAGTGACAGGCTACAACTTATAACTTATCTGGCTTTTTTGTTGTTGTTTTTCTTTCCATTGGTTGACTGCTTGATTTTTAATTAAGAGATGTCCTTTCTGAATCTAATATTTGTTCCGGGAGTAACAGGGGAAACTTACTTGTTTGTATCAACGGATTGAAAGATTTTGTGCAGTTGAATGCACTGAAATAGATTCCGAATCTCAGGAGGGTCTTCCCAAAGGGGCCGTTACAGACTGATCAACGTGGTGATGTCTGAACCGCCTACACATGCAAACAGGCAGATGCAAGACTAACATGATCAGATGGGGCCACTCTAAAGGCACGAATATATGCAGGTGCAGTGAAGTGTAGACCATGGAGCACCTGCTCATTTACTGACTCCTTGGGGAGACATATGCAAAGGAGAACCTTGCTGTAGTAACAGAAAGAGCCTTCACTTGTGCACAGTTCTGGAAAAAACATCTAGTTTGTGATGAGGATACAAAATGAAGTGGTGAGTATTAGCCAATGTGGATTCTGTTATATATTATTAATCACGTATGTGTGGCTGTGGGTGTTGATGGGGGAATTTCAAATATGTTTATTGTGTTTTGACATATGAATAAGCCTTAAGATCAGTATCTTAAGGGAGAATTCCAAATTCAAAGAATAATCACATTTAAAAATTTCACTTTATAGTAATGGCTGATCCTCTCTTGTCCAGCACTTTCTGGTCTGGCAATATCCCTGGCCCACCATGATTTTAGGTAGCCATATGTCCACTTACCACTGGTGAGGCCAAGTTTCCCATGGTCCCATAAAGTTTGTTTACAGCCACCAGTCCTGGCTGTCAGTGTTTTGTGCTGTTATTTAGCGCTAATTTAACCCTAAATGTTTGTAAGAGACCAGTAAATAGCAGGGTTGGTAATGCTGCTAGACAGCATTGACCTCCCATGATTTGGCAAATTCTCTGGTGTGGTTCCAGACAGGTCCCCAAAGTGCCAGATTAGAGAGGTTCAACCTGTAGTTTAAAAGCTCTCTTTTACCAAATTCTGAATTTCTAATGAAAAAGCTCCAGCTGACTTTTGGATATGACAAGTTTACATCCATGGAATAGGTCATTTTGAGACTTGACACGCATGTGAGTGCTCCATGGTAACTGTGAATCCTGAAAATTGTACATTAAGGAGAGGTATATTGGCTTTCCACTTTTGAAAGCATCTGTTTTTAATTCCTCCAGAGGGTTGCTTGTTTCCCGGGGGAAGCCAGAAATGCCACATTTTGATCTTAAGGGGCTCATTTAGGCATTTCTGCTGTGAAGCTAGGGTGGTAAGAGCCCAATTAACACCACTACAGGAGGAGGATGCTTTTGAGAAGTGTATTTTCTTCAATGCTGCTAATTAATTAATTTGGAGGAGAAACACTCACTGAACAAACTGTGTGGAAGTTCAGTAACATTAAAAGGGGGCTTTCAATTTGGGTAATGTACTTCCTGCTATTTGTAGTGGTCTTATTTTTATTAACAGAAATCAATTAACCAGAAAGTCTTCTTGGGATTAAAGGGAATAAACACTTAAGGTATGTCTACACAGTGGTGTTATAACACAATGCACGTCTACACTACAAGCCTTTATTTAAAAATAACGTCAAGATGGAGGACTTCTTATTCTGACTCATGGTAACCCTCATTTCCTGAGGAGTGAGGGAAATGGAAGGAAGACTGTTCTTCCTTCAACTTCCTGCTGTGTAGACAGTGCCAAAAGCCAAATTAAGCTATTTCGACTTGAGCTACACAATTGACAAAGCTGAAGTTGCATAACTTTATTAGATTTTTGCCCTGCTGTGTAGACATATACCTAGAGACCAGTTCTGCTCCCATAAAGGCACAGGGAGCTCTGCAGTTGACTTCAATAGGATGCATGCCTAGTTTTCCCATTTTTAGCCATTACTTGACATCTTATACCATGAACACACATACTGTGTATAATTATCCAAAGGATGGCATGTAAGGTATGTACTGTATGATCATCATAATCATCAAATTGCATGGACATATAATATTTAAAAACTACATATCTATACAAAAATTTATGTTCTCAAAGTCTGGGACTTAAGGTAGTTAAATGGGCAATTTGTCCCAGTCCAGCCCCTTCCAGGAAGGGAGTAATAGAGCCCTGCAAATCAGTGGATAACTGCTTAGTATCTGCAGGTATCTGCACCTGTCAATACAGATCTCCGTAGCTCATTTTTGTG